TTAGTCAGATGTCAACGCTCTAGTGTGAAGTTTGTGTCATTCAGATTTGAGCCCTACTGAGGGAATGTTGATGTCACAGTCAGAGTCTTGATGGAAAGGCTATTGTATTATTAACAGTATTTACTGTTTCTCATTACAAAATTATTAGCTGTATGGTGTAGGAAACAATAAATTAAGGAGTAGAAAATTAAAATGCCTTACAATCCTGTCACACAGTTAAATCATGGCTGACATTTTGTATTCCTTCTTCATTAAAATATTACTAAAACTAGGATCACATAGATTGATACTTTGGCTCACTTCCACTTATATTCTACCCTAATCTGAGCACTTCACATTTGTGAAATCTTAAGAAATCTATTTTTTCCCATTCTTCCAGCTGTCATCTTTTTTCTTCTTTGGCAATACTGGGGTTTGGACTCAGGGCCTCCTCTTGCGAGGCAGGCACTCTACCACTTGAGCTACTCCGCCAGTCTGAAATTTAATTTTCAATGACTTTAAGAGTCATATTATAAGTCACCACTTATTTTCCCTTTTAATTATATCTTACATTTCTATGAAATACAATATGTTTCATAAACTCACATGTGGTCGTTTACACAGATGAATGGTTTCTAGAACAATTTTTGTCATTGCCACACATACTGTCTTTCATGCTTCTCTCTCTTCTCATTCAAGGTGCTGAATCTTTTCACATTTCACATAATCTTCTCATTTTCACATCATTTAAAAGGAAGTTTGTGTGTTTTCCCACTCCAGAGTAACTAATAAAGAAACTTTAAAGCAATAGAGGTTATCATGAGAAGGAAATCAGGAACCAGTGTAAAGATCAGTTAGAGATGAATCAACATGGGCCGTAACACATGGGTATATGAAAGCAATGTTAGGAATCTCTCTGTATAGCTGTCCATAACTCAACTAGCAAAAACGCTCTGTCATCCTTATTATGCTTATGACTTTTCCTCAACAAAATTAGTAATAGGAGCAGAACAGGAGCTGCCTAGAACTGAGGGAGGGAGGGGGGAGATGGTGGGGGAGAGGGGCAGGGTGGAGAAATGACCCAAACAATGTATGCACATGTGAATAAATGAGTAAAAAAAAAAAGATAAAAAATTTTTTAAATGAAAAGAAAAAAAAGTTAAGGTTTCTCTCATCACTGATGGTGCTGAATTTATCAAAAATCTTTTAGGGGTAGACAGGGAGATCAGAGTTGTTTTAGAATTAATTGCTAAGCCTGAGGCCAGAATGTTGGTCACTGACAGGAATGGCTCCTCAACATATTGACAACCCAGCCGGATCCATAGCAGTGTTCTAGTGCTGCCCATTTTGTGCCTGAGTCACTCAACTACTTCTGCCTCGTTTTGGTGCCATCTTTATCATAAGGAGAGCATCCAGGGACTTAGCATCCCTGGCTTAGCTCATTAACAATGGCCATGATGCTGTTCAGTATTCCTTTAATGACATGTTTCGTTTCCAGGATACAAATGTGTGTCTGCGTGTGTGTGTGTGTGTGTGTGTGTGCTTAAAACAGGTTTTCTGAAATGTCTTGTAGAGAACAGTTGATGTTATATAACTTAAGTCTTTTTATATGTCCTTGCTGTTATTGTCATTAGTCAATGGAAGCCTGCTTTTTTCATAGGACTTGTGACCAGAATTCTCTATTTTTAGTCTTAACCACTTAGTCTCTTCCTGCTCTGCAGATCACTGGCCACTGCTATAAGCTCAAAGATAATTGCTCACTTGTCCTTAGGATTGCCTGTCCTCTTCCCAGCTGAGTTTATCTCACGCTGGGAGTGTGAGTTGCTCAGATCTCCCTTACACTTCCCTCAGGACATGTCTCGCTGTTAGGTCTATGTCTTGGGCTCTTCCATATCCAACACTTGTACGTATTTTACCTTTTTATGTTTTATAGTGGAAATTTAGGAAAGGAGCTATGTAAAATGCTTTGCATGCACAGATCATGAGCTTCAGTCAACATGTTTGAAATGAAGCACCTCAGCATGATCCTGGCGTGTATTCATCACCATTCAGAACTGAGTGACATTGACTTGTGAGCAGAACTTTCCCTGCTGTGGGCAAAAATGAATACAACATAAATGTCTCCTCTTCCTGGCTGTAAGCTTGGCTTTTTTTTTCAAGCTACGTGCCACATTCCACACTAAATTGAACATATCCAAAATCAAAGCTTTCTTTTTTTTTTTCCCTTCAGTACTGGGGATTCAACTCAGTACCTCACACTTGCTAGTTAAGCATGCTACCAATTGAGTCATGTTCTTAGCCTTTTTGTTTTTATTTTGTTACTAAAATAGGGTTTCACCCAGCCTGGCATCTAATTCTGGGTCTTCCTGTCTCCACCTCCCAAGTGGCTGTGATTACAGGCATGCACCATAGTGCCTAGCAATAACTGTCTTTAAGCTAAGGTTTTCCTCCCTGCTTCTCTCTTTCAGTCAGGTCTGAAGTGTTGAGATCATCTTCAAATGCACACTATCCTTGGTCTTCATGTCCATTCTTTTCAAGCTTTCCATCACATTTTTATTAATGTGGGTTATATCTATTACCACTTTCCTTCTTTGTAATTAACATTTATTTACTGCATAAAGTAGGTGGTTTCATTCTGATATTTCCATACATGCATATCATGGAATTGGATCATGTTCACTGCTCCATTACCTTCTCTTTTCATACTTCCTTCTAAATACTCTTCTTTTCATTCATGTTATTTTTTCATTGTTTTTGTATGCTAGATTCTGCATATGAGAGAAACAGGATATTTGTCTTTCTGAGTCTGGCTTATTTCACTTAACACAATGATCTCCAGCAGCTTCCATTTTTATGCAAGCAATATAACTTCATTCTTCATGGCTGAATAATACTCTGTTGTATATATATCCACAAATACACACACACACACACACACACACACACATATCACATTTTCTTTACTCACGTATTGGTTGATGCACACCTAGACTGATTTCACAGCTTGGCTATTGTGAATAGTGTTACAATGAACATGGGTGCAAGTGTCTCTATTGTATGCTGACCTACGTTCATTTGCATATATGCTCAGGAGTGGTATAACATGATCATATGGTAGGTAGCTCTATTTTTAATTTTGGGGAGGATGTCCATACTGATTTCCATAGTTGCTGCACTAATTTGCATTTATACCAATAGTGTATAAGGGTTCCTTCCCTCAACCCCTCCCTCACCAACATTTCTTGTCTGTTTTCTGATGATAGCCATTCTGAAGGATGACACAGAATCTCAATGTCATTTGATTTGATTGGCTAAGGATATTGAGTATTTCTTTGTGTGTTTATTGGCCATTTATATTAATTATTTTGGTAACTATTCAATTTATTTTCCCATTTATTAGTTGTTTGTACTTTTTGCTTTTAATTTTCTGAGATATATGTATAGTGAACCAAGTTTTTGATGCTGCTTTTCAATGTTTTTGCTCTTGAACACCCTAACTAGTGCTAGATTTGAAGAGCCATTTATTAGGATTCCATTACATCTCTGTTCTTGGAGTTTTGCTAGGTTTTGTTGGTGGTTTTCATGTCCATCCTTTAATTGTCATCTTCTTTTCATTCCTGCTCTTTTGGCAGTGAGATTTTGTAGAGATTGAGCAGTGAACAGGTATGGTCACCTGCTATCTAAAATCAGAAATATTATTCATGGATACGTAAGTTTTCAAAATGCCAATTTCACTTATGTAAGAGACAATCATGGCAAAAAGAAACAAGAAAATGTTGACCTCATGCTGCTGGAAATAATTACAGCTCTGGGAAAGAAGTTTCTCACTTCAGAAAAAGGGCACCATTTGCTCTAGGGAAAGCAGCTACCTTTTCCATTTCCCTTCTCTCAAACTGATCTGCTGACACAGTGGTCACTCATTTGTCCCAGGCATCTTGGAGCTGAAATCAGCAGAAAAGCTTCTCTTTCAAAAGAAAGGCCTTGCTATTGGACACTGGCAACACCACTCTCATTTTACTAGAGCTGATTTTCACCCATATAAAACTGCTGGCTGCCTATCTGAGCTGAATTTCTGGATCAAATGTTTCCCATGTCTTCTAGTCCCTTCAGAAGCTTCTCTTCCCTCTTGAGCTGCTTCCAGGTTGGTGAAATTTACTTTTTTCTTCAACATGAGTGGCGTTTTATTTTCATCAGTTGGCCTGGTTTTCATCCATAGATGCTGTGACCTCCCAGGATTGTTCAGGGCAGATGACAATGGAATTTTACTCACTTATCCATCATTTATCTAAAGCCACTGAGTCTTCCTAATTCTGGTTACAATAGGTGAGGGTCCCTGCTCTAGACTTTCACTTATAATTTCACCAGCCAAGGGAAGTGCCTCTACACCCTACCACCATCTCCCCTCCACTGGAAGTTCACTGCCAGCAAGTCCATGCAACGCCCGTCTGAGGGAGACTGAACGCGTCTGTCTACAGTAGGCTCCATTGCCTTTACACCCAGGAGGTGGGTGGTGTAGTCCAAACTCGAATTGCTTTATAGAGTGATCATTGTCTCTAATGTAAATTATTGCTCTATTTTACAGGCCCCACTTCTCATTAAGGATAGGATTAACATAACGCGTTGCAGAGAGTGACCCAGAACAGATTAGGGAAGAAAGAAACATGCAGTTGAACGTTTTTGGTGCATCTCTAAAACAGAAGGAAAGTTCAGATTAGTTTCCTGGGGGAGTCTAGAGTCTCTGTCCTGCATTCGCCTCTAGAGCGCGCTGTTGCACGGACTAGAGCTCAAGCTGCACCTTGGGCTCTGCCCCTCCTCCCTGCAGGTGCCTGCAGCTCCTCACTGAGTTCTTCCAAGACCTGACAAGTGAGAGAATCAGAGATCAGAAAGCACCTAGTACTCGCTCAGCGTTTTTGTATTTTCCCTAAAAACCTACAGGTCACCTGTTTCCAAGACCCGCGTCCCACAGTTTCCTGCTTCAAGATTTTCCAGAGAAACACTTGCAAAGTTGCCACTGCTCAGCCATGCTCTTGGTGCTCGTCTTAGTCCTGGGGCTATATTTTTGCCTGAGTGAGTAAAATTTCCTTGTTGTCCCTGGATCCACAAAGGTCCCTGTCTCCTGATTTAAATTTGAGTAAAAGTAGATTTCATAGTGAGGTCTGCACTGCACTTACTGACACAACACTGATTTTTCAGGAGACATTGCAACCCAGACAGTGACCCAGCCTGACGTCCAAGTCACTGTCATTGAAGGAGCTTCCCTAGAGCTGAGGTGTACCTACTCCTATACGGGTAGTCTTTATCTCTTCTGGTATGTCCAGTACCCCGGCCAGGACATTCAAGTTCTCCTCAAGTACCTTTCTGGAAAACCTCTCTTTCAAGGCATCAAAGGCTTTGAAGCTGAATTTAAGAAGAGCGAATCTTCCTTCCACCTGAGAAAACCCTCTGTGCATTGGAGCGATGCAGCCTGGTACTTCTGTGCTCTGAGTGACACAGTATCTGGAGACATAGGGGGAGCTGTACACAAACTGCAATACTGGAGAAGATGATTTTGTCTGGAAGATTTGGATCCACACAGTAGAAGCCATGGTGTTCCTACCATTCAGAGAGCTGCATTGCTTTCAAAGGCATATTGATATGGCTATTTGTGGCACATCCATGTGAAGAATTTGTGGAAATTGTGTAAGCCACATAAAAATTATTCACAAAAATGTGATGCTGTGCTCTTCAGACTACATTCTTTACTGTCTTTAGAGACTGATTATCTCCATGAGACTTAAGGACATCAATCAGTTCCATGCTCCAAATGACAAGATTGGGTACTTTTCACAATACACGATAGAGGGAGAAATGCCAATTTCTTTCAGCTCCACACTGAAGCTTAGTACTGTGGAAATGTAACTCCTGTACCAAATATCTCCAGCACCTGGAGAGCATTCAACTTCCTCACTCCAGCAGCCCTGCCTGAGCTATCAAAGCAGTTTTACTTACACTATTCTTCTATAAATGTGAAAAAATTTACCAAATACATAAATATGTTAATAACAAAGTTAGAAAAAAACCCCAAATTTTAGGCACAATTATATTTACTATTATATTTACACTTTAATATTTTTAATGTACCAAATGTAACCTTTTAAAAAATAACATTATACTATATCTTCAAATTAATAACTATAGTCACACTCAAATATAAAGTTTCATAATTTTAAAAATACATAAATTAGGGGCTGACAGAGTGGCTCAAGTGGTAGAGTGCCTGCCTAGCTAGTGCAAGGGCCTGAGTTGAAACATCAGTGCCATCAGATAACTACATAAATAAACCATCACAAATAGCATTATCATCACACTTGTCTCTTGGCCTCAGTCCCATTCCCTTCCACCTCTCTCAAAATAAGCTTATGAACTTTGCTTTTCAGGCCCATGGTTTGATATTTTTCACACATGTGTGTTTGTACACAATGTATTTTTGTTTTTAACATTACACTGATATGGCTCTATTGTATGTGTGATCATGAGACTTGCTCTTTTCACTAAAATGTTTGGGAAATATAGAAAATTTATACTTATATTCCATTATTTTTAACTGCAGTATCTCTACTATGAACATACCATATGCCATTTTTGGATGGACAATTGGTGTTACTAGGGTTTGAACTCAGGTCCCTGCACTTGGTAAGCTGGCACTTTATCACTTGAGACACACCCCCAACAAGACACACATTTGGATTATGCAATGCCATCAGAATTAGTCTGGATCACAACCAGACAGTCAAATTTACAAAGCGCAATGGGTCACATCTGTATTTACTTCCTTCACACCAGTTATGTTTTCAAGGGGAGCTCTCTCAGCTGCCCACACAATTCAGGATCTATTCTTCTTCAACTCAACCCAGGTCAAGTGCTTGTGTGAGGGAACAAAACCAAACAGGGCACTCATGTTTAGAAGTAGTATGTTCCAAATAAGAACCTGTAACAGTTGTAATCAGTAACTCCTGTAACAGTTACAAAAGTTACATCCTGAGGGTATGGTAGAGCTTGCAACCTGCAGGCCCTGAGATCATACCCAGTACTGTAAAAGCAACAACAACTCATTATAAATGTCACTGACAGAAAGTCATGGATCTTGCCAGGTATTCAGAGTTAATTCACAGTGCAGATAAAAGTTATCAATGAGGACCATTTTTGTTTCCATAGCAACGTTACCTAGAATATGCTGACATTCTACTTTTATCAGGTTTCCAGAGGAAGAGAAAGAGGAAATTAAGCTAAGCATTTTTTATGTAGAAGGAGAAAGGATTTTTTGACCCTTTGTTCAAGAGGTATTTATAGTGTTTTATTATAAAAATCCTAAAGGAATAAAATTATGGATATTTCGATATGTATAGATCTAGAACACTGCTTTATACTTGAAGTGGTGTTTGCTTTATTATATGACTTGTGCTTTTAAAATTTTACTTGTGGTTGCAAATTGCTCTTGAAAGTGTTCTTACCAATTTTCGTGCTCTTCATCAGCACAAAAGGACT